ATAAAAAAACCAAGCTTATTCTATGTAAATTTTAAAATTAAAGTTGATAATTTTTGTTTTATATTTGAATTATTTAGACAAAAATCAATGTTTGATTTTTTTATTAATTTAATTAAATTTTAAGCTTAAAAAGAAAAAAAAGGTTTACCCTTATCATGTTATCGACTTTTCTACAACTTTTTTGTTGCGCCCATCAAAAGGCCAGTTCTGATGGATCACAGAATATTTGTCAACAATTATGTTCATTTGTTAATAGTCGGTTGGATTGTAAGGAGTATTTTTTACTTAAAAAATCTTCGAAGAGCTTGTATGTGTGTGTGGAAATTTGTGATGAGTTTTTTTCGTGTTCTTATTGGAATATTGAGATGCAGAAGAATGAAGGGCACAGGTTTGAAGTCGCTTACGCTAAAAACACGTTAACGACCAAGATTGGAACTCTTATGCATGATTCTTTTAAATCTTTTAGTGTTGATAATGTTTTTATTTATGCAAAAAAAGATGGTCTTAATCATTTGTGCAAGGAGGATGTGCAGGAGAAATTAATCAATGCGTTAAGAATGCTTTCATATAAAGAATCGGGACCAAAATACTATTTTAAAGGGTATGTGCCCGACGAGTTAAGCTTAATAGCTAGGACTGTAAATAAAAATAATGAATGGGAAAAACGGCTAAAAAGTTTAAAGGTTGGAGGCAATTTAGATATAAGACTAGATTCAGATAAAGATTTTTATTTCGTATTTGATATAGATTTGAGTTATTTCAACTTTAAGTTATTGCTTAAAAATTTTGTAATCTTCGCGACTGGTAATAAGAATGGGAGGTTCTATAAATTCATATCTAATTTTGATTTTGTTTATTCATATGATATCAAAAGGCTAGTGGATAGGATAATGTCGGATAGACATGATCTATTAGAGTTAAAAAAGTTGTCTTGTGAAGAGCGTAGGGAAAAGTTGCTATTAGAGGGAAGAAGTTTCACTGCAAAACTATCTAATGAATCTGCATTTGCCTATTTTGAATGGATTAATAAGATTTCTAAACGAAGCAGTCATTACATTAAAAATATTGAAAAAATTGTAGGCAGAAGGTGCGAGATGATTTTGGTTTTTATGTTTTCAATATTAAGACGGGATACATTTAAGATTTTGCTGGCACATGTTCTTAGTAGTAAACCTAACTTTAAAAAATCTCTCATTGCCGAAATTTTGTTCCAACTAAATGTTATTGACAAAGAGACAATGGATAATCTTCTTCAAAAAAAGAATTTACCAAATTTGCAGTCATGGAAGGAAAAAATTGATGACGAGTTTTTAGCGCCTTTATTTAGATTAACCAATATGCTTCCATTTCATAACACGTTGATAAGATATTTATTTGTAATTTTGTTTGCAAAAATGATTTCGTTAGAAAAAGATTGTAAAGAAATAAAAGATTGCCTAAGGAGATTCCACTCGGATTACGGACGACTTTGTGTAGCTGCTTTATCTGGTCGAAGAATTCAAACAGCTATTCCTATAATTGATGAATTTGAAACGCTATCAGAAAAGGTGTCTTCAACGTTATATTTTACTGCTCTTATAATTTGTAAAAATTACGAATTTAGTTTTACGGATTACGTTTACAAGGAATTAAGTATGCAATGTAAAAAGATAATGGATTTTTCCAAAAATCCTACGAGGCGGATTAAAAACGATGAAAAGGAGCATATTGCTGCTTTATATAAGAAAATGAAGCTTATTGTTGCAACAAGCTTGTACGAGACGTCATAAATGTAGTTAAGTAAAACTTTTTAATTTTTTGGGACTTTTAAATTTTATTTGTGACATTGCATCTTTAATATGTTATATGGCAAAAGGCTTATCTATGTTTTTGTGGTATAACATATGCTACATGTTAATGAACCAATAAACCTTTGGAACAAGTTTATATCCATTTAATGGGTTAAAACGAGTTTAAAGGGATATGGTTTGTTCCTGGTAAAACATAAGAATATAAATATGATTATTTAATTAATAAAAATGAGTAACATAAAAAGTCATTACAATAAATTCTTTAACTTCAAAAAGACTTTTTTTCAATGTTTTTAAGAGACTAGTGGGAAAGACGGTCATGTTAGAAGTATCTTAGAGGCATATCTACATTCTTGTCGCTACCGCCAATGCATCCCAGATTTTAGCACAATAGCTTTGCGTTCTTCAATTTTACCTTAATTAATCAAGCAAATGCTTAACTTTTGCTCGTAAAATAACTTTAAAGAAATAAAATTAAAAGTTTATTGTTAAAAAATGAAAACAGCAAAAAAAGAAAAACCACCAGGCCACCAAAAACTCCATTTTAAAATAAAAATATCAATATTGTGCTTATACGCCAGCATACCTTTACGGCCTTGCTATAGGGAAAAAGAGCGTTTCCTTAGGATACAGAATCCTCGGTCTACTTAAAGACCATATCTCACCTTAAGTGAGTGCACAGAACAACATCGCCTGGCTCGATACACCATTTAAGAACACAACTCAGTTCAGCGGGGCGATACAGCAGCAGTATCATGCCTGACCTCCCCCAGGTCAAAATTAAAA